ACTATGGCTCAGAACCCTTCGTGATAACACAAGAACAAGGTAAAATTCTGTACAATACTCACCAGAATCATGACGCTTTTTCCGCCGCTCTTTCTTTCTGTTCTCCTGCGTTACCCTCATTCTGAATAGAGTTGATACGTGTATCAGAAAACCCTATATTAGGTTGATGCATAAGTTCTTTTCCCCGACTTTTTTGTAAATATCTCAATAGCGAACCAGCCTGAAGATTAGAGGTATGCACCATCACCATCCACTACTCGACGCCAACGCTCAGGCAGCTTGTCGATTCCATCGTCCCAGAAGGACGGGGGCTGGGACCCGAAGAAGGCCACAATGCCGCACAATCACCACTGTGACATGGTTTTGCACTGGTAATTGTGCGGCATTGTAGCCTGCAAATGCAGGGTGGGTGAGTGATAGCTAGTGTGGTGAAAGAGTATCATGTACACGTCACGCACACGTGATGACGAAATACCAACATCCATGCAAACGAAATACGGAAGGATCAAAACAGGGGGCCAGAAACATATGCATCAACCTAATACTACGATCATCAGCCGGTCAAACTGGAAACATGTGGTAGCGCTTGATACAACGCATTTGTAGGTAAGTCTTTCTCAAACTTTTTTTTGCAATAGTTTATTTCTGAACATCAGAATGGATACTATTTTACAACATAAGAAAACTAAGCAAAGCGGAAAACGATTGACAATTCATGAAAACTAGTCAACAAGAAACTTGGAAAATCAACAACAACTACAACTAGCGACAATAGTTACACATTGAGCACTTGTAAGGAGTCTGCTGGAAGTATCACAGTTGTACACGGTTTTGGTACCATCAGCAAGCATCAGTCCTCATCCGGGGGCAATAACGCGAACTCCGATTCATCACCCACCTGGAAACAATTTTCATATGACCTCACAACAAAGTGGAAATTGCTTTTTCCAAGGCTAAAATTTTCCGGTGCAACTCCAGTGAAGGTGGACCATCTTCGGCATAATTCTCACCGCGTCTAGAACCAGAATAAATGTTTTATTTTGCTATTGCGAATAAAAGAAAATACGATGGGTGAACCACTGTCAAGACCTTACTTCGCCACTGAGGAGACTCGGCGACCCGGCCTTTTGGCCTATCGAGCGATTTGAGAAAATCAGCCTTTTTTGCGATTCCATGTCAAGGAAGTGGATGAGTATTGATGGCCGCCAGTCGCTAGCGGTCGCGGAAATTGGTGACCTGGCGCATCGACATGCATCCACTCCCTTGTGCGCTGTCGCTCGAAACGCCGGTGTCTCCCAAATCGCAAGAGGGCTGATTTTCTCAGAACGTCAGATAGCCGAATATCTTGAAACGCCGCATCGCTTATTCTCTGAGAACGCTGAATC